CAGGAAGCAGAAATGAATCAAAGTCATACTGAAAGAACATTGGTTGAAAAAAACAATGTTGAAATAAAAGATAGATCTTTCATTTGCAACCATAATTTAAAAAACTATTTTTGGGACCATCAAAACACCAAAACCTATGACAGTTATCTTCATATTCATATCTCAGACATGTTCACTCCCTAAATCTCATAGAACAGAGTTGGCAGAATCAGTGTGTTGCTAAGGAAACATGCTAAGCACAAACATAAAAATCATCACAGGTTCAAAGAGTTCTGGGGAATTATTATAAAGCCATAAAACCTGCCAAATAATTGGAAAAATAAAAATGGAAAATTAATTTCAAGTAAAATGAAACACTTCAACGGACTGCTGACAGACTTTTGAAGAATACACACACACACACAAACACACACACACACACACACACACACACACATATACACATATACATATACATACGTACATAAAGAAAAAGAGGTGAAGACTTCTAAAGATCCAAGTAGTTAGTTAATGGCTGTGGAAGACAAATGCAAGCATTGAGAGTATAGCAGGAAAATTTGGTTTCTGGTTTCACAAAAGGGAATTTGCCTTAATCAAATTTATTAGTAAGAAGGATGAGGTTGCAGAGAATAGGATCCTAGAAGTAGTTGAAAAATGGACCAATATTCTAAGCTTTGAGATTTGTTGTGTTTCTAGGTCCAAGTGAAATATAACAAGGGTGTTAAAGGAAGTAGAGACAGAAATAAGAGACCCTTTTAATGAATAGTTTTACAAGTGAACTCAGTTCTGGAGAGACCCCCTCTAAGATTAGCCAGTATGATGGAATTATTTTTAAAGGGTCTGGGAATGTACCAAGTGGCTTGCATACCAGTTGACATCACTCAGGAAAAGTGTTAAAAGGTGTTTTGAGGGTCAAATGAAGAAACACTTGGAAGCACACTTGCTTGATGAAGGAACGCCAGCTGACTTTTTCTGATGGGAAAGAGATGCTTCATTAACTTGTCAAAATGTCAGAAGGGTATTATTTCTTCAGAAGGAAAGAAGTGTTATAATATATCCTTAGCTTTTCTATAGTGGGCAATATATTGAAATGCTCTACTGGGCTTAAAATGATCCCTTTGCTTAAAAGTGGCATAATGGGAAAATTGGTAAATTGAATCGAACTTGATAAATTGTAAGAAACAGAAGTTATATGGCAATTGAACCATTGCTAGTTCAGAAAATCACTGTCTTATATACTAAGGGAAAGTTAGTCACATCCAAGATATCACTTGGCAGCTCCACACTCACTTCAGGGATGCCGCCTTTGGACAAGTCATTCTTGGAATTTCTCCTGTGGAATTGTCCCGCAAGACCATGGCAAACTTGAAAAATTATGTTTAACAATAAAAATTTTTCATACTTTGAGTGAAAATATTATATTTGGGAAAGGTCCAAAGAAATCAGAGTTTCATCTGGCAAAGAAAGTGAGTGATTAAACTGTTACTAATTAAAAAAAATGAGGTATAACTATTAAGTAAAGAAAGTGATATTCTTTTGTGGCTTGTAACCTGGGTTTCAAAGTAATTCCCAAAGCATTGTATTTTATTTAAGAAATTTTTTTGAGTTACAATAACAGAAATTTATTTCTCACATTTCTGGATGTTAGAAGTCCCAGAATCAGGGTGCCAGCAAGGTAAAGTCCTAGTCTGGCTCTCTTATAAGTTGCAGACAGATGTCTTCACATTGTATCCTCAGATGGCAAAAAAAAAAGGGCCAGGGAATTCACTGGGGTCTCTTTTATAAGGGCACTAATCCCATTTTAATTACCTCAGAATACTGTCACATTGGGGGTTACAGTTTCAACATATGGATTGGGGGAAGTGCATTTAGTACATTTCACACTCTGGTTGGGGACAGACAGAGGCTGTTAAAATCTGGAGCCCTGGGCATTCACTGTCACTAGCTTCATCTAGCTTCTGGTGTATCAATAATGCCAAACTTTACTCAAATGGCAGATAACATGCAATGGCAAACCTCTTAGTAAAGATCCTCTTTATTTAAGCACTTTTGGTACTGTCTATGTTGGCAGATCATAAAGACTTCAGAAAAAATATTAGCAATATAAAGTATAATATTAAAAATGAAAGCCATTGTTGACCAATTACTTTCTAAATGATAAGTAGATTCTCAGGCATTTTTATATGTTATTTCATTTAAAAATATATGTTCATTTAATAAAAAGCAAATAGTATATTGAAGGGATGGATGTTAATTCTATATATAACTCAAAATGCAGATGAAAAAATTTCTTGAATTCTGCCTTACTAGTTAAGAGAAATGGTTCATTAGTTTGTCTTTTTCTTAGAAAAAATAACAAAGTAAATAAAAGTTTTAATAATTGAACCAAGCAAAGAATTTTTGGCTCAAGATCAGGCAAATTTGTAAAAATTATAAACATATTGATTAGTATGCTTATAATAGGGTTAAGATTCTCAAAATGACTGCTTTGAAGGATAATTTTAGAATGAGTTCTGGTGTGCTAGCTAGAAGTCAGTCTTAAGGTGTTTATAGTTTTAGCTTATAAAGAGAGAGTAGAAGGATGTTGGTGTCTAGTGAAAATTTCTTGATGATTTTAAGATATGAGAGCAATTTATATCTAAATTTTTATAGAAAAGGGAAGAGTCAACCCTTTTTTTTAAGTGTTAAGAGAAAGACTATGGTACCTATTTTGGGAAACCCAAGTTAAGTTTATGTGAATTTAGATTAGTCATTTTAACATCGTTTAGTATTTTTTAAAAAAATCTTGAACATGGGTTTATATTTACTTTTGGGAGCTGAACCAAAGTATTAGTCTTCCACATGAAAATCATGTACACACAATGTAGAGCAACTGTGAGGTGCAAATGAGATGCTGTACAAAAAGACTTGAGAACTCTAGCTTGGCAGATATAATGTATTCTAATGAGAAAATATTTTATGAAGAAAAATTAGAAGCATATAATGGCATTGGACTTCATTCTGCCTCCTGACTTCCTTGAAACACGAAGCTGTTACTTTAGTTTTTGCATAACCAAACCAAACTTTGTCACAGTTTTTCATTATGTAAATGAAAGAGAAATAATATCTGCCTTCCAGTTATCATATGGAAATGCCAATGGAGACAAAGGCCCTATGTAAAGTGTGAAATTATCTTGTGTGAAGTTGCCTTTCAAGTGCCTGGTAAAAGATTGGTTTACAATACATGCTATTTATTATTAATGTGCTTAGGATTCGTGTACAACAGCTTGTCATTCAGTCTGATATTTTCAAATTTACATGTTTGGAACACAGATTTGAGCATATTTTCTAGCAAAAACACTGACATTTTATTTCTATAATACATTAATTATAGTCCAGGAGATACTAGTGAAGGGAAAAATAATCCACTTTATCAATAGAAAATGCACCAAGTAAATTCAGATATGGCTTCAATAACATAAATAACTTTGGGCACAAAAGAGTCATAACCAAAAGCCCTAGCTTTATTTTCAGATTTCTAAATTACATATTGAAATTGAGCATGTATAAATAGAAACATCATGCAGATTGCCCTGAATTTGAGAGATAATTTTGTATTAGGCATGGAAAAATCCTCAGACCTCTGAAAGAATAAAATTCTGTCATTGCTCTTTCTTTTCTATTATTGGACCAGGCTGGTGTGTGTTATAAATTAGCCCATTATACCCAAGGAAGGATATTGAATAGTCTCTATTCAGTTAGAAAAATGTCAGTAATACATCTTAGAAGAAGTCAGACCCTTTTCTGTGTCTCTCTGATACTCTGCAATGTGCATCCAGTGTTTCCATGTACTGAATTTTGCTATGTAAAAATTCAAACTCTGAGATGCAGTGGGAAGGAGAATGAGAGGACGTTGGGGAATTTGTGGGACACAGGGGTGATACGCCACAGAAAAACTAGTTTCATTTTACAAAGTTCAGAATCCATCTTTGTTAAGGCTTCAGTATACCAAGGAAATAGATACCCTATGGGCTAGGTCAGCGTATATTAGCAATTCTTCTTCCTTATGTGGAATGTTGCCAAAATAAATCTCATCCATTTTTTTCTGAATCCTATGGTAAAGGACTGGAACTGTAGTTTTATGGGCTGAGAGCAGTAGCTCACAATTCACTTCATAGGCATCTCATGAATTGCCCAGGTACTTACGAGGAGTCTGCACTTTGCTTCTTGGTCCAGGTAGAGATATTCTGAATAAACATATGTAAGAAAAATAGCCATATTCATATAGTTTAAACATTTATAATATATGTTTTTAATATTTGTATGTTAATTTGGGTAGAGGGAGGATATTTTTTGCTACATGCAGCAAAATTTGGGCAGCCTCCCTTAGGTAGAATCCAATTCAGGCAATGTAAAACTGTAACCAGTGGTTCTTGAACTTGGGATGAGTTAATGGATTTACTTAATATACCCATCTTAAAAATAAATAATAACTATATTAGTTTTATTATAAATGAACTTAAATATAATACATATGTCCAAATATTTTGTTGTTTGCTTTCTCTGACTCACTGTGTGAATCTAGGGTTTATAATTCATTCTCTTTGATGGGAAAAGAGATTTCTGTTTGATATCCAACATGTAAATGGGTGTCCAGTAAATCAGAAAGATTGCTTTTGACCACAGGTAACAGAAAACCAAGGGTGCTTTTAAAGCATTAGGATGTTTAATTTGATGAAGAAGAATCCCAGAGGTAGACAGTATAGGGGTTGTTCACTGGCTTAGTGATACCAGCAAGAACCTGAGCATTCTCAGTCTTTTCTCAGGATGTTGGCCTTTTCTTTGGCTCCTTCTGGTCATAGTAGGCTGCTGTAACTCATGGCATCAGTCTGAATGTGATGGCCTTTAGGGCGGAAAGAGTGGGAAGGAGGCAGTATCAAAAGATATATATCACTCTGTATATATGTCTCTTTACTTAAATATTTCCTAAAAGCAATTTAAATTTTTTTTGTATTTTCCAGAATTGTGCCTCATGGCCACCTTTAGTTGCAAAGAAGGCTGGGAAGATGAATTTCTATCATCTCTAAACTCTGGGAACTGGGATTGGCTATTGAATGGGTAACCAAGGATTCATATCAATTACAATCATTGTGTTTGAATTTCCTGTGTTACACATAAACATTAACCTTTCAGCCAGAGGGACATTTCTAATATCTCTTAATACCACAAGAGCTAAAAATACCAAAGCCTATCTTCTTCAATAGTAATGTGTCATAAAGATTAATAATGTTTCTTTTTTTTTAATAATGTTTCTTAATAGCAGAGTTCTATGTATGAACATATAGGTTTTCATGTACAATAAATGAGTATTTTGCTTATATACATATACATACATATAACATGTGCTCAATAAATATGTATTAAAGGAAATTAAGAGCAGAAACTGACCCACCACTTGCATTTCTCTGAATAACATTATAAATCTTCATTGCTACAATTAAAGCAAACATTAAATTCCACACTTGATTAATGTGAAAACAAAAATGCCCTATTAATAAAAACAATTGAAGCCATTGATCACATGGGTGTATGAATCACTGAGGGTGATCCTCAGGACTGGAAGATAAATGAGTGTTATAAATGTCAAGAAGGCTGAAGCTATTGTAAGAATTTCTTTGTTACATACACATATACACACTTGCACAGAATGGCTTTTTTAGAGGACATCTTGACCTACATTGTAAAAATTTGAAGTGGAATTTTCTTGTGTGCCAAAGTACACAGATGAACTATGTCATATTGAAATTATACATTCTAAAACTAGAATACTGTAAAAAGTTGCCATTATATTTGCAAGAAACCTTGAAAATGTAGGTTACTCTGTGTCTTTAGTGCCTGTGGTGCTGTTATCTTAGAGAGGTGAGGGGGAACATGCGGCACCATGTGATTTTTGTGAGCAGTAGACATGAGAATATAAAAGGGAAATGCCGAGGGGATGCCTGGCATGGCTGGAGGGGAAGGGTGGGTGTGGGCCACGTGAGATGCTACCAGGGGTCGAACTCTTCTGTGGATGAGGGGGTGTGCACACAGTATGCTCCTTGGACAGTTTGTTTATAGATACTTGTTTGCCAAGCTCATACAATTGGGGGTTTAATGGGATGAAGAAGAGCTTATGTTTTTCTATTTTAATATATTTTATTGTATTTAATCCAGGATATCCAAACATTATCAATGGTTTTATAGACAAGCCCCACATTACTATTCTTTTTAAAATTTAAAGACTCTAGGAGAACTTGTTAGGGTAAGTATATGTAATCCAGGAAATTTGTTTTGACCTAATTGTTGATATATGCTTTTTGCAATGCGTGGAGAGAGAGCATAAAGGATAATTTGTGACTATAAAGGATAAATACTTATATTAGTGTTGTAGATTTCAATTTTAAGATACGATTTTGAATTTTATCTTGACATTTTAAAACATTTCTTTTAGAAAAGAGGCAACATAATAATGTGACTTTAAAAATGGCATTTAGTGTTTACTTTTGCCCCCAGAAGATTTATGAGGAGAAGATATTTATCTTCAAACTGTTTAATCAAATACTTATGAATACCCATTATGGATCAGGAACTAGTCAAGGAGATGAAGACATAGGAATGAACAAAATAGACAAGGCCTCATAGACTTTATATTCTTGTAGGGAAATCACACAATAAAGAAATAACCAGTATATATGTAGTTTGTCAGGTGGTGTTTGGTGCTTGTGGAGAAAAATAGCAGAGATTACTGTTTTCCTCACAGGTAAAGGATCTTAAGGAGTTTAGGGAACCAGCTGTAAGCACACCTGGGAGAAGACATTTTAGACAAAGGGAAATGAACACAAAAGTTTTAACTCATGAGAAAACTTGGTCTGTTTGAGGAACACATAATTAATTTAAAAAGTTGCTGAATTTAAAAGTTGCTTAAAATTGTTTAATTAAAAAAGTGAATGAGCATATATAAAAATACACATGCCTGCCTATAGGTCTGTCATTAAACACTAATTCTGTATTAAGGCACTAATGAAAATGGGACTTCTTAGAGAATTCTATTTAGGTCTTTATTTATGGACCTACTTTGTTGTTATTCACTGATTTCCTTATCATAATAGATACCATTTTTAAATATTATGTGCTGAATATAGTGCTAAATGATTTATACACATCTTAATAGTTTTCTCAGTTTTAAAGAGTGAGATTTATTGAAGTTAAGTTGTGTAATTTTTCATAGCCAATGAGTGGCTGAAACAGAATTAGCACTTTGTTTCTCAAAAAATGCCACATTCTAAACTAATTCACTAAAACTCAGATTGAACTTGAAATTTTCTTATATTTGGTATCATGTACACACTGAAAAAGATATCAATAGTTGTTAAAAAGTTAGCCTTTGGTAATTTAGCCTTCTGTAAGTTTATGAATTTATGTGGCTGTGTATCTCCTAAATTACATTCTTTGGGACACTATCTCAAAAGATTTAAATAATTTTTAAATAAAAAACTGGTTCTATGATCAAATAATTTTTAGAAAAACTAGTTTATATAAAGATAAATATGCTATTTGAATACAGGGCTTCCAAGAGTATTTAAGATACTAAGGTTCATTGAACATCTCCATAAAGTGAATATCTCCAAATTATTTGATTATGGAAGGGCTGTTTGTGAAACACCTATTAATATTCAGAGATGTCCAACAAACGTTGGCATCTCTGGCATCTCTGGGCCACACTGGAAGAAGAAGAGTTGTCTTGGGCCATATATTAAATTCACTGCGACATGTAATCAAAAAAGAATCTAATAATGTTTTAAGTAAATTTATGATTTTTGTGTTGGGCTACATTCATAGCCATCCTGGGCCACATGTGGCCCATGGGCTAGACACCCCTGAATGAACTAGTTTACACAGAGCACAGTTTCTGAAATGATGCTTTAGCTATTTCAGTTCCTATGAGCTACTTCCCAGGTCTATTTCATGCAAACGGTCTAGTATGCTTCCATGAGATCACACTGTGATTACTGATTACAGCAAAATAACCTCTCCTGTGCTGCCTCCATTTGGAAGAAATGTAACTTGAAATTAGGTGGTAAACTCTAACACTCAGGATTAGTAACATCTAGAACACAGGTGTCAAACTCATTTTCACTGGGGGTCACTTCAGCCTTGCGGTTGCCTTCAAAGGGCCAAATGTATTTTTAGGACTGTATAAATGTACTTAACTACTCCTTAACAGTTAAGTGAGAGCTCAGCGCTGCCACTGGGTAGAAACAAGGTGCCAGCCACATAAAACAAGGTGGTGGGCCTTAAGGTGTTTGCCACCTGTGATCTAGAAGCTTTCCCTCCATTATTCAGAAATCCTTTAGTGGTGGTTTGTGAGTTATACATACAAATATCCATCTCTTTCATTCCTTCTTACACATTTTCAGTACCTGTGAGTGAAGAGGAGATAATAATCTGTTCCTGTTTTTCTTCTTTATTTCTTGCTGTTTTACCATGTGTTGCCTCTCTGTGTGCCTTTTAGGTCTTTTCTACCTGATTCTGTAGTCATTTACAAGCCTTAAGAATGCCTATTCTTGTGGTCCCATATATAATGACACAATTAATTTTGAGAATAAACTATTATTATATCTATGGCTTATTAATGAGATTTCCATTCATTTGTGGTGTAATTTGACAATAGAAGAGAGGAATGTGTAAGAAAATTTTAAAAAATTTGGTGATTTCTTTTGGCCCCAACTTTCTGGATATCCCAGTTAACTTAGGAAGTCTTAGTTTCAAAAACATCTTTTACTCTAGAGTTTTTCCACTCACAAAACCACCAGAACCGAAGATGGTGTCCTCAGTTGTTGTTCCATTTATTTTCATTACACACTTTTTAGAATTTAAGAGTTCCTGGGGACTAATATCATTTGTTGGAGCAAGTTGAGTAATTGTTGCTGGGAAAACTACTTTCATTTACTCAGACTCTTCTTTAGGAAGTGGGGTACCTTCCACCACCCCTGGTTTTCCTCTTGTGCTTCTTGGCATAGCTGTCCCATAGTTCTGCACTGAGAGCCACCTGAGAGAAGACATGTGGACACAGCATACTGGATTCTAGAGCCCAGAAATTTCCATAGATCCACCTGCTTTCCCTTACACACATCTTCTGGGAGTAAACCCCACAAAGTTTACTGGTAGGAAAACTCTGTTCATTCTCTTCAAGAAATATATGCAAAAGCTGGAAATCTCTCCCTGAAATTCTAAAAGTGATTCATACTAAAGTGGTAAGGGCTGGATGCCTTATAATCATAAGGTCACCACAGCCTGACACCTTTCTAGAAATGGCAGCTGTTGGCAGGATCCCTGTATGGGTTCAAGGCAGCAGCAGCCCCTGGTTGGCAGCAGCTTCAGTCAGTGAGGATATGGCCCCTGAAATGTGGTGTCTGGTTGAGTTGGCAAAAGCTCTCTAGGGACTGATAGCTGACAGTTGATTCCTCACAGTGGTAGAGGGCTACAGTGCTAAGGTGCCTCCACAGCTTTTTCAAAAACATTCCACCTAGTCCTCTGAAGTTGTACTGGCAAAGCAAGTGTGTTGTGCAACACTACACTGCTATCCTCCCACTCAGTTCCCTCTCATTCCTTAAACTGTAGAATGCTTGAGCTGGAAAAAACATCCCTAAGCTCAACTCCTTATTTTGCAGTTGTGAAATATGGGCATCGGGGTTAAATCTAGCCTGGGAGTTTTTACCTCTACTCTCCCTTCTTCCCCAAGTCCAAAGGCATTTCTACAAGTTATATTTGTCTCAAAATGCTCTGAACATGAGTCCTGCCACATGACTTAAGGTTTTTTGCTGTAAGTAAAGGAAACTGACTCTCACTGAACTAAGCAAGGGAAAGGCATAGACTGGGGATATAGTGGATTGTTCAGAGAATTAAAAGATTTGAAAAATCGGAACTTGGGAAACTGCAGGGACCCCAACCTCAGACACTTGAGGCTCAAGGCTTTGGGTGTTGCTTTCTGCCACCAGGGGTTTCCTCTTTAGAGTTAAAATCCCAAAGAAGCATCTAATCAGCTGATCTCAGTTCATGGGTCCACCTCCACAGAAGTGTTTGTATGTAAGAGGAGGAGCACGTTTTATTTTGTGAGGGTGAGGAGGGTGATTTTGTATGACTGACCACCCCAGCTGAACCACACAGCATAGGGAGGAAGCAGCTTGCTCATCAGAGTGTAGAGGGAGGAGGAGGTACTGCCTGTTGATGCCCAAAGGAGAGGATGGAATTCTGGGTGCTCAAATCAAGACTTCTGTC